AGTTGATCAAAGAATGAGGGCCAAAAGTGCGTGACTTTGGCAGGAAACTTTTCTCAATGGCTAGAGATGTCAAAGGGAGGATATTGAACTGAGGAAATCAGTCAAAACTATGAACTTAAGTTAAAAGATAGTTAATATACAAACTTAACTTAACTTTAGGTTAAAAATATTAATCAATTTCCTGACCAACTATAAAAAACAATCTTAAGATTCTGTCGACTCAAACATCAAAAGTGTTGCAATAACGAACAAATCTCTTTAGCCGAAACTTTGATGAATTTTCGCCCAATTAAAACTCAAGAGATAGCAAGAACTTCCCAAACTTTTCGTGTCACGAACACACCCCCAAAAAGCCAGACACATCAGCAGCAAGAAAAAAAAAAGATAGCCCAAACCCCACCCAAAACGCCCACAAAAGCCACACACAGATACACGCACTTGACTCGTCTGTCTCGCTCCTAATTTTCCTCATTTTCCTCGAAGCGTGGCAACCGAAATCTATTTTTAGCTCACCGATTTTCCACAACAACAACAAGAACAGAGAAAAATAGAAGCGGAAAGCCACAGCCTTATAGTGCATATCCCAAGAGCTCCACTGCCCCACCTGTAACTCACAGATAAGACTGACAGGGGAAAACTGACGCTTAAAGTGTTTTTTTTTCGTTCTCTTTTTTGAGGAAGAGGGTGGGGGAGGGCTGGGTTTTTGGGTGGACAAGCACGCCCACCGGAGAGGTCTCCAAGGATGGCTGCGTGGGCCCGTCTTGAGGTCACCTACGCTCACACGCAGCTATAATAAATACACATAAAGTCCTGGCCCACGCTCGGTTAGCTATTTTTGACCTCACACGGGGGAAAATAAGTTAAAAAACATTTAAGTTAAAAGGCAAAGAATGGTAACTATTAACGAGATTCAAATATGTGTTAAAAATAACTGATAAGGCTAACTATTTAAGTGACTTTCATATACTAAACTTCATCAAAGGCAATTTCCTTATCAAATGAAAAGGTTAGAAAGTTCAAAGTAATTTCAATAAAATGACAAAGTAATGTTACAGCAAGTACTAGAATGATTTATTAAATGATTATTATTATATAACTTTTGAAATGACTTCCCTTCTTACACCCAATTTCTCGCTGTGCACTCGTGCAGACTTTGCATATGAAGTGGGGGCCAAGGACCGAGGGAGCTGGAAGCATTTCGCATTTGTTTGGACGTGTCCAAGTTGTCACCTGCTGGTGGCAAAGGTCACGCCCAGGCAATTGCATTACGAGTCCAATTCAAAGGGCTGTCATAAGCAGTTGCCACCACACCTCCCTCTCCCCCCTGAGGATGACATCTCTTGCTCACTTTATCCATGCTGACTGCTCTCTGCATCATCATCAGCATCATCATCATCATCATCTTTGGCTTTATCATAGGTTGTCGTCGTCAGCCATTCATTGACGACAATTCTATGGGCCAACGATTTGTTTTTGCTAGCTGCGCATATATAGTCGGCTATATATATATAGATATAGATATATATATAGCTGTGTGTTTAGGCCATTTCTAAAGACGCTCGATTAATGAGCGTTTTGTATGCGTTGCTCGACCACCGCCTCGCCTCTTGGGTGGTCAACTGCCTCCCCCAACGCACACCCCATACCCCCATGGGCCACAAAACTGAAACTGAAACTGAGGCAACAACAACAAACGGAAGTGAGCTCTGGGCGTGGGCTGATCTAGGGGGGCAAGTCCATTCCCCTGGTCGAAAAGAGGGTGCAGTTATTGTCTTAGTCTGCTAATGGACAAGATTTGCCAGGAAAGCCTCAAAACGTAGTTAGAGCCATGGAAAAGAGCTTTCATGGGGGGTGGATAGAGGGTACATGATGTGTTAAAAATAGTTATCAAATCGATATGGATAAACTCTAGAATATATATTAAAAAAAATATGCGAAATGTATAACAAAGTTCTATAAAAACCAACCCTTTTGCCTTTCTTTTAGTTACTTTATAATCTGATTTCCTTCTTTTTAGCATCATTTAACATTAAAATAGCTCTAAGAAGTTTGCAAGCTAACTAGTAATTACTCTTTAGACCCATTAATTAATGATTAACCTAAAAACATAATGCCAAATCAAAGCCCCTTTGAGTTTACTTGGTTGTCTTCATAAATCCAACACTCGTCAGCTCTTTCGATTGCAGTTGAAAGCAGTCTTGGCCCCCACAACAAACACCCCGTTGTTGTTGTGGTTTTTGTGGGATTTATTTTTAAAAATTATAATTTTCAAAAATAAAAAGGCCATTTTTCGCTGGCGTTTTTTTTTTTTTTTTTTGGTTTTTCTTTGGTCGAGCGTCGTTGCGACGACAAAAATAATGAAAATCACATGTTTGCTTGCGGCATAAAAATGCTTGTTGTTGGCTGCCCCTTGAGTTCAGTTCTTGGGTTCTCGTTGGGCTGTCATTTGGCGTTTTGTGCTTTGCTGGCAGTATAGGCGAACATATCTTATAGATACTTTACTATATATGTGTGCCATGCCCATCTATCCGAGAGATCTCAACCCATTGAAGCGTGCGCCTGCCCATCCCCTACATGTATAGTAGATCTTGGGTTCAGTAAATGTTACATTCCACTTGATTGTTCAGTTATATATCCTATATAGATATAGATTATTATTCTGCTATGTTCAGTTTTTATGTCGTCTTCGGTTGTTGTCGTCAGTATCGTAATATATAGTATATATATCCGCTCAGATCTAGCCAGCCTCCCAGCCTGCCTGCCTTACATTTTGGTAACAGTTTCGTGATTATCTATTTTTAGTCTTGCGAATGCAATTAATTTGCTGTCATTTCGGCCTCTCGCTGTTGTTTGTGTAATTTTATTTTTGCCGACTATTCTTGATATATCCCAAATAAGACAGAGGAAGATATATGCATGGGATGCTCGTGTATATATATATACATACAGATGGGTTGCTATAAATCAGGTAAGCGGGAAGCAGCAACATTAGATTGATTAAAGGCGAGTCTCTGTTCATACAAAGTTACAGGTGATCTACAAAGTTCTCTGTATCTGTATCTGTATCTGTATCTGAAAAACCAAAGGAATAAAGGTGGTGTATAGTAGCATTCCCTCTCAGGGAACCTTCACGACTTCCCCATCTATCTGGCTGTCTATTTGCCGTCTGCGTCATCAACGTCATTGTGGATCTGCTGCTTGGGCTGTGTGCCTGCCTGCCTAGCTGTTTATTTAGCTAATAAAAATTAAGCATTTAATTTATTTATTCAGATATGTATGTCTTTATGTGTGTGTGTATTCACATGTTTTTGGCAGAAAGCAAAGCGAGAATTTCCTTCCATTATGAATGAAATTTGTATTTGTGTATTTTTGGCTATGACATAAATTCAGAACATCGAAAACCGAAAAGAAGGCCACTTAATTCAATTGAATTTTCTTCTTTTTTTTTTTTTTTTTGGTAAAAACCCCCTCTACCAACGAGACCATCGATCAAAAAAAGAAGAGGAAAATATTGTTAACTTATCGGTTGAAAAGTTTTTACGCCTCTTTTATTTATTCTGCCTCTCGTTTCCGTTAGCCCCAGAAATTAACAGCCAGCAAAAAGTAAATAAACTTAAATATTTTTCGTTGCTTTATCAGTCCTCCTCTCTCTTCTGATTTTTTAAGCGTGTGTCAGCGTGAAAAAGAAAGCAAAAGCAAAGGCAATGGCAAAGGCAAAGCCCCAAAAAATCCATCGGGCCTAATACCTGGGGGTCTTGGTCTTATCGAGCCACAGGAAAAAAAAAAGTGTATCGATGACGAAACTGCCTCACCTCACGCTCTTTTCTAGATTAAAAAAAAAGACCCAAAGAACAAAAAAATGGTTTAAAAATAGAGCTGAAAAAAACACGCTGAAGTGTCCAAAGGTTTGCCAGACAACAAAAAGTGGGCAACTGATTAGAAGGGTTTAGCTAAAGTCAGTCCCCGGTCGACTGATTTGTGAATGGAATTCTCTGTGGATCGATCTGTGATCGATCATTGGATTGCCAGATTGCCGATCGACTGCCTGACTCCCTGACTCTCTGACTCCCTGACTGACTGACTGACTAGCCATTATCAGTCGATCGCTGGGCAACAATGAAACAACTTTATAAAAAATTCACATTCTAGAATTTCACCGCAGATGCAAACCGAATCGGAGAGCAATTTATTTTCAATAAAAAAATAATACTCTCCCGGAATATATAGTATATATATATATAGAGAGAGTGTGTGCTTGGATTATCTGTCTGGTCCGATCAGTAAACACCGCTGGGAGGAGACGGCGACGAGGCCAGACAAACAAACAACTTGAAATGTCAGTTAAACATTTTGTTCGCCAGCCGCGAAAAAACACACTAAATTATCAAATATAAAAAGCCAGGGAAATTTATTTGATTCCACTTTGACAGTTAGTGCATTTATATATATTTATTTTTAGCACTCTCCGAGGGGATCAAAGCGATTCTAACTATAGAACGTTTTGTATTCCTCAATGAAATTCTAGAGGGCAGAGGAAATGAAAGTAAAATAGAGATTTTAGGATATATTTTCATATAGAAAGGTAGTAAAATCTATCTTGTTTACAAAACCATAAACTACAGATTAGTTTACCCAATCATAAAACGTTTAATAGACCCACTAACATCTGTAACGTTTCCTGATCGCTTTTAGTGTTTACTTTCCTGTGATGTTTTCTATCGGAAAAATACTATATTTCTTCCTGATCGCTAAACACTACTTATGCTTATTTTCAAACTGAAAAAACATGTCACGATATAGTCATAAATTAATCAGATATTCGCATGGAATAAGCATATATACACCAATTATTTCTATCAAGAATTGTGCATTTCCTGGCAATCCATCTGTTTGAAGGTTAGACGCCAAAACGTGATTAACTCAAATTGCAGCAGTTGTGCAGTTGGTATCTAAGTATCTGAGAGATATACAGTCTTTGGCAGCTGTGGGGGCGAACTTACATTGATTTTCAAAAGCAATCCGTGATACAAATTCCGTAATTAATCACCATAAATGTGTTGTGTAATCCTTTTCGAGGTGTATCCAAAATGTGGCGATGATTTCGGTTTTTTAAGGTTACTACGAGGGTTTTTTTTCTTGTATTTTATTTTTTTATTTTTTGGGTATAATCCAAAGGCGTGAGGGGGGTGTTTTTTTTAGATTCTTACTCGCGATCGCGACTGCTGGTTTTATTTAGCATTTATTAAAGATGATTTTTCGCTTTGCTTTCTTTCGCATTTCATTCACAAAAGTAAATTTAATTAACACAAAAACGACGCCGGCGACGGTGTTTGATTTTGTTATTATTTTTGCCAGCCTCGTATTATTATATTCGCTGGGCTTTTGGTTTATTGGCGTGCCAAAAAAATAATAATAATCAACTTGGCGACCGGCGGTATTGTTGTTGTTGTTGTTGTTGTTGGAGCAACGACGCTGGCACACAGTTACACCAACACACCGAAAGCGGGGGCCACGTCGTCGCCTATGTGTGCGAGTGTGTGGACGAGCGGCGAATGTATCTGTGTATATCTCGCTGCTGCGTGCGTGTGTGTGCGTTGTCTTGAGTAAAAAATATTTTTATGCAATTTTATATACGTACGTATATATATATAGCTATATATATATATATATATATTTATAAAAATATTCGTGTGCGCGAGAGACTGTTGTTGTTTGATTTTGTATTTTTTTTTTATTTGACTTTTTCCCAACACGTTTTGTATTTGATTGGCTTGAGTTGGGCTTTCTTGTTGTTGCTGCTGCTGATGTTGTTGTTGTTGTTGTTTTAAATAGACGTTGTTGATTTTCTTGGAGCAATTTGCATTTTTAGGCACATGATTTCCATTGGAAGCGATTGGTTTGGTTAACTATTTCTATTTTGTATTTCCCAAAAATAAACACTCACTTTTTCTTTGCCACCACACACAATATTTTCAAGTGATTTCTTGTTTCGTATATGGATATATATATATATATGTTTGGATATATATAAATGGGTTGTTTGACGCGGTGAATTGTTTTGTTTAACAGATGATTGTTGCTTCGAAAAAAAATGTTGTAGTTTTGTAAAAAAGTGGCTTGACTTTTGAGGAAATCGGAAAGACAGCGAACGCGGCAATCGCGGCAACCGCTCGTCACGAGGTTTTGAAGCGAAATGAGCGATGTATCTGTATCTTTGAGAGCGATGTATCTGCGAATCTGAAGCGAAATGAGCCGCAGTCGCTGTAGCTCGACGTTCCCTCTGTTACCTCGCTGTTGACTCAAAAAGAGCCCCGCTGTTAACTCACGGCGAACATATGAAGAGCGTGAGAGAGGCGGCGAATTCAAATAACGATCACTCTTTTTTTGCTTTTAATTGAACGAAATTTTTCATTCTCAAAAAGTTTGAGTGTGTGTGAGAGTGCAACTGCTGAATGGGCGTTTTACTGCGGGTTTTCAGGGGGTTTTCAATGGTTTTTCTATTATCTTTTAAGTTGAATTTATATAAATTCATTGAAAAATATTTAATACACTTGAAATTCTTATAAAAAACCCTTTTAAAAGGATGAAAAACAAGCACAGGAAATGCTGGCGGCGAATTGAACTCACTAACACGTTTATACCCACACTGAAACGCATGTATCTGTGTCATTCTGTCAACAGTTTGCCTTATAACAGAGTTCGCTCTCTCTCTGCTCGCAACTTAACAGAACAAAAATTCTCATTCTCATTACAAGTTGATAAATAAAATCTCTCACTCTCTCGCGCGGCGAATTCAGCTGTTGCGACTTTTCGTACTAAAAACCAACCGGACGTTACCGCCCCTAGCCCCCCAAACCCCCTCCTCTTTGAACGCCCCTGGCCCCCTGCCTCGCCCTCTGCCACGCTCTCTGCCCCGCTCTCTGCCCCGCTCTCTGCCCCGCTCTCTCACCCATTTATATCTGTGTGCCTGCCTGTGTTTGAGTAAAAAACGGAAATTGAAAATATGCCAACTTGTAGGCGCGCTCGTTCGTTTCCAAGGGGGTTTTTTTATGAGGGGGCAGGGGGTCGAGGCGAATTCATGCCAGTTTCTTTTTCATTCATTTAAATTTAAATGCAAACAGCGAACGGCGAACAGCGAACAGCTCGCAGCGCAAACAAACAACAGAGCAAAGGCAGCAGCAACAACAACAGCGAGTGCGAGTGCGGCAAATACAGCAAATACAAATACAGCAAAGCCAAGCGACAGCTGGGCCCCCCGCAATGTGCCAGCCCCTCGGCCGGACGACCCACAACGCAGCAGCCTCTGCCTTCTACCCACCATTAACCCTTCTAGGCTATGACTTTATTTTGATTTTTAATTTAATTTTGGGTTAAGCTATTTTAAGACAATGATTTTTTAAATATTTCATATTTAAAAACTATTTTACAAATTTACGAATATTTAAAAAATATCTAAAAATATTAAAAGTCCTTACTCCCAACTAACCGATCTTGGCCATTCAAAATCAAAGCCATCAATGGGTTAAGCAGCTAGCTTGCCTACGCGACGAATCCCCCGATTCGAACAAGTTTTCCACGAATGGGTGTGCTGTCGTCGTCGCTTTTCCGGCCGTTGCGTGCATAAACTTGGTAATTTTCCCCGTCGCCAATTTGCCAATCACCTCTCGGCTCTGCTCATTTTCCATACTATCGGCGTTTTTCCCTCAATGAAATTTTCCTCTTGCGTGTTTTTAGTAGAATTACACTTACTAAACTTTGGTAATTAAAGAGTCTCTTTGGGTTAAAAAATGTGAATTTTCAAATAAAATCTTATATATTTAAGGAAAATGTAATTCTAGTAATTTCATCTTTTTAAAAGTTTTTTCCTTAACTAATTTTCAACGCTTTATCTTTTTAAAAACTCTTTCCAAATAATTTAATTTTAAAAATAAATTATAATACCTTCTAAGCTTAGTTTATATTAAGAAAAATTCCCCCCAATGGAAAAATATATATATAAATTTATATATAAAAAGAAATGCTGACTGCGCTGCCGACTGCGTCGCGTTGGCTGACAATATGAATGAAAATTACGCACACACAGGGAGAGCGAAAGAGAAGGAAAGAGAGGGAGAGGCGAGAAAGTTGGGGGAAAACTCAAGATGTTTTTCCATGTGTGTGTGTTTGGGTTTCCAGCCACTGAGACATTGTAATTGTATGTGTACGTTGCATGAGGTAAGCATAAGATGTTGTGTCCACGTGTGTCCATGTGTGCGTGGAAATGCTGGGCTCAGGTGAGACAAAGGTGCCAAATCATTCACACAAAAAGGTCACAGCACTGACAGAAATTTGTTGATATTTTTTAGAAACAAAATAAGAAGAAGTTATCCCTAAAATATTTAACAAGAATTTTAGATTTACTTTTAAAGATCTTAAATGTTTTCCCGAAGAAGAATTTGTAATTCTACCCTTTAACTTAAGGTTTAATCGAAGAAAATTTGGAAATAAATAATCTCTGAATTTGGTAACAATTAAATTGAGAAATATCCGCTAAAACATTATCATAACCCCCACATTTATTTAATATATTTTCTGTATTTCCAAACTGCTGACATATCACAAAACGGAACCCATGATTTCAGCAACCACAAGGCTCTTGAGCGTGAATGATGTTGAAAAGCAAACACAACAAAGCGACTGGTTGTTGTTGTTGCTCTCGAGCAGAGTTGCCGCTGCCAAGCCATTTAAAAAAAAAGATACACGACTGAGCGGCGCGTGCTGTTCGAAGCTCGACAACTCTGGCTCGAAATCTCCAACCTCCAACCTCCAACTCAAAACCAGTAGCACTTTTCTGAGAGAAAAATGTGAAAAATAAAATAAAGTCGCCTGGGTGTGTTGTCTAATAAGCCAAGACTCTCAGAGCAAAGCAAAAGATGTTCCGCTTCTGGGGATCCGGAATTCGAAGATAAGCTTGAACTTTCCCAAAAAAAAAAGAATCGGGGAAGAGTATGTTTTTCCCTTTTCTTTTTTTTATTTTTTTGGTTACTATGGGGCGTAGTATCTGTAGAATACAAAATAAATAAATGGCATATTCCAAATGGGCACAGATACATGCAAATTGCTCGCTCACATCAAAAACATATCTCAATTTCAACTCTTTCGAGAGAACACTTCGCCGCAGCAAAGCGAATTCGTGACGAGACTCTCACCAATACACTCACACATGCGTTCGCCTGGCGTTCGGCTTCGCTTCGTTTCGTTTCGCTTCGTCTTTTTTATGAATGAAATGAACGGGCAACGATTATAATGAATGGAATTGGAGGTCTGCCCGATGATGTTCAGCCGGCCTCGTGGCCAAACACAAAACTGCCTTTGCCTCTCTGACTTTGCAAATTAAATATATATCTCTATATATATATTGTTCATCTTTTTATTTTTCTCTTTTGGTTTATGTTTTTTGATTTTCATTGAATATTGGTTAGCATGCAATTTTTTTAGTTCATTGCTTAAGGCAGGTACATATTTACTGGATGTCTTCGCCGCAGACGAGTCGTCGCCATAAATCAGCGTTACAATACGGAAAAAATACACCGTATATGGCAATTTTTTCGACCAGAGTTTTCAGACTGACTGGCATCAGTGGCGTAGGTGGGGGCTATAAGACTTTTTGGGGGTATACCTCCCTTAAAAGTGTATTTTTGGACTTAAATATCCCTTTGATATGATCAAAATGAATGATAAGATCAATGGTATTGATGGAAAAGGTCCCAAGATTGCCTTTTTATATCATTTTCAGTCAAACAGTTTCCCCAAAGCTTGTCAAAATGTGAGAAAAGGGAAAATTCAAACATCTAAGAACATATTATGGATCATATAAGATTTGATTCCAAACCCCCTTCTAAAGTTAATGATCAAAAAGCTACTCCCCTGGCTGGCCTAATGAAGTCTTGACAAAATTCCAGCCTTCCGATGTGGGCGTTCCACATTTGGCCAGATCTAGTCACAAAAACTAAGCAAAAATCAAATGGAGATGGGAAAAAAGAGAAACATTTACATAACACGCCTCATTTTGAAGCAAGTTGCTCAGGTTTTCCCCCCTAGTTGTTCCCCAAACATGGCCCGAATGAATTGGGCCAGGCCATATGTAAATCGAATCTAACCCATCTGGAGAAACCCACTTTCTACGCACTAAGCACTGAGCAAATTTCCTCCAGAACAACAGAATTTCGAGTATCTGTATCTGAGAGATAAGAATAATGGTTTATCAGTGGGCTGGCTGAGTCACTTGGCTGGCTAACTCGTGACTTGACCAAAATGCAAAACAACAAACAGTTTTGGCATTGTCTTTGTTGTTTGCCAATATTGATAGTAGCGGCGGTAAATATTTATTATTGGGGAAAATGTATTTCCTAGAAGAGATTTCTGCAGAATTATTTATAACAATTAGGTCTTTACTTTAGTTAGTGACAGGAAGATAGTTCTTAGGTCATATTAATGGTATTTTTTGTCATTATTTGCTGATTGGAAATGACTAATTTTTGATGAGAAACTTTAAACTTTTTGAGGCCTTGAAAATAGGCAATGACAGGAACATAGTTCTTGGGTTAAAGTGATATATTTTGCAGTTTTTTTCTTAATAAATATATTTTTAGTACGAATTTTTCATATGAAGATTTTAAACTGTGACTCTTAAAGAATTTTGACTGCAATTTGTCTTCGAAAACTTTGTAAAAACTTGGCAAGAACTAAGCTTACAAATAAATTCAAGTAAAAACTACTAATAAAGATTAAAATGTCAAATGGAGTAGTACATTTTTTAACGTTTTTTTTAATCTTTTTTCTCTACGTAACATAAAATTTGAAAATAAAAATAAAAATAGGTCATTTTGCATCAACATTGTTCAATATTTTACCTTTCTTTGTTCCCTACAAAATGTAAGTTTCAAATACAGTAACAAGGCATTCTGTAAATGTGATTTTCTTTGTGTGTTTTTCCAAAATTATTATGAAAATGACTTAAAATATAATTTTCATTACAAAACTTGAAACCATAAACTTAAGAGGAAACGGAAATTATAAAAAATTAATAAATTCTGGTTAAAATTGTAATCAGAAATATATATGTAATCAAAAGTTATAAATTCACAATAAATTAATCCAATTCTTAGTCATAAATGATACTGCTAAAGTTCCTTGAACTAATTTGCCCTGCTCAACTTGATTGTTTTAAGACCCGCCATGCAGCGACTCAATAAACTTTA